TCTCGCGGTGCTTTTATTGTCGACTCTTCTGCCTCGGAAGTGTCGTATCCTATCTTGATGTGTATTGTACACAGATGCAATAGTTGCCATAATCTCGACAGGTGTCCTCCACAGAAGACAGAAGAAAAAAACGTGCACCTGCACAATTCTTCTGTGGTCTTGTGGTCCTGTACGTAAGACCTTCCTGCACAGCAGTGAAACGCCGGTACTGTGTTGGCCCGTATGCGTAAACAAGAACGGTTGCACCGCCGTGAGGGTGCCTCCGGTGACACGCGTATCGCAGGGCCAGGGGCCATGTTTCGTTTGTTTGCCTTTTTCCCCTAGAGGCCGGCCGCTGAGAAAAAAATGAGCAAGAGGTTGAAATTAAGAGTAAAAGATCGGCAGCCTCGCGAAAGAGAACGGTGTGACAGAGTGTAGACTAGACCCAAACATGACAACCGAAGCCTCCAACAATCAACTGACACACAAGGGGTCTACCGATTGTTTATTGTGCCCGGTANCATCGCTGGGCCAGGGGTCATGTTTCGTTTGTTTGCATTTTTCCCATAGAGGCCGGCCGCTGAGAAAAAAATGAGCAAGAGGTTGAAATTAAGAGTGAAAGATCGGCAGCCTCGCGAAAGAGAACGGTGTGACAGAGTGTAGACCCAAACATGACAACCGAAGCCTCCAACAATCAACTGACACACAAAGGGTCTACCGATTGTTTATTGTGCCCGGTAACACACCTATGTAGCAGCCCCCCACCCGAGTTTGGAGAAGTTTGCTAGTCATAATTGTACGCGAATAAATCTACAACCTACGTTGTCGATGAAGAACACAGCGCGAAGAAAGCTTGTTCTACGCGAAACAGTCACTTGCGTACTGTAGTCCCCACAAAGACTACGTCAACTAATGCGGAGTATATTTTCCTTCGTATGAAAACACTAAAAACTCATGAAGAAATGCGGCCAGGCCGAGGTCCCCGTACCATGACCGTACGGCGTCTCGTCACGCGCAACACGAACCCAAAAAACGGGAGTCATCACGCGGACATCTACTGATCGATATGAGATCTATTCTGTCTCACAATGTTTGTCGGCGATATCAATTCCGCTACACACAATTTCTCCAGCCGCCTTTCCCTGGGAATAATGTCCACGTGTAAATCGAAGGCGCTGTTGACGGGAAACAAAAAAACAAGTTCAAGGGCACCAGGGGAGAGCTAACACAAGGAGCGCGGCGAGCGACGCACAACACGGCACGACGTACACCACACGACACCGAAATCACCGGGACAGCAGCCGGTTTGGCCCCCTAAAAAGCAACCCTCGAGAAAACATTGCACACGATTCGCACACAAATGGTCGGTGTTTGTGTTGACACCGTCAATGTAGTCTTACGTGTCTGACCTTCCGGTCATGCGAGCTTGTATGAATGCCGCAGCTGCACCCGCCACCCGGCCATCATTGGGGAACTGGGCCAAGGCTTGGATAGCAAGGTCCCTAGCATTTAGTGCGTGGGAACGGGTGTCGTCAGCAACACCCCCAGCGGCCGACGCTCCGTGAAGCCCCCCCATGCCGCCGGCGCCGGCGCCCACCGAAGCCACTCCGCCAACACCATTGGCGGCGGCACGAGCGGTACCCGCGGCAGCAGGCGCACCCACAGCCGCCGACGTTCCGTGAAGACCCCCCATGCCGGCGGCGGCGGCGGCATGGTCCGCCAACACCATTGGCGGCGGCATAAGCGGTACCCGCAGCAGCAGGCGCAGCCCCAACGGACTTGCCATCCACCGTGACGCCGCGCGCACGCTCGAAGTGGTCGCACATATCCTCGACCTTGCCCATGCCGCACTCCCAATAGTTTTCGGCCTGGGGTGTGCGGTATTTCGGGAGGGCAGAGGTGCGCGAGGCAAGATAAGTGGGGCTTTTCCAATTACGATACTCCCGAAAAACCAATGCGAACTAACCATAAACTGATAGGCCGGGATCGGTGATGAGCGAGCAACACATCGCCTCATGAGCGCCATCAACCTACGCGGTACCCCATATCTCCCCACACACAAACGGCATGCATTCTTTTACGCACTTGACGCTGCAATATTTTACACGGAATGCCGTGTTCCTTGCACTGCGGTGGTTTCGGCCCGCCTCCAGCGCCCGCGCCCTCGCCACCAGCCCCAAAGCCACTGCCGGCGCTGCCCACGAAAGACCCGCCGCGTTTGTCCTTCGCGGCGGCACCAGTGGCGCCCGCTGAAGCATCCGAGGCCCCCCCGGAACCGCCATCCACCGTCACGCCGTCCGCAGCCTCGAAGTGGTCGCACATTTTGTCGATGTCGTCCATGCCGCACTCCCAATATGTTTTGCCCTGGATTGTGCGATTTATTCGTGACGACGGGGAAGGGAAGTATACACGCCGAGGTCAGTTGGGCTCTTGGATTGGAGGTACACCGAACGCCCGCGACAAACAAATAAACCAAGAACTCGTAGGGCCGAGCCCTGTCATCAACCAACATGAGTGCCACCACCCTACGCGGTACCCCAGACAACAACGTACTGTATACTCACTCGAAGTATCAAGAGTTTGCACGGAAGTTGGTGTTCGTCGCATTGCGGTCTTTCCGGCCTGCCTCCACCGCCCACTCCCTCGCCGCCGCCCCCAAAGCCCCTGCCGGCACTGCCGCCTGAAGCGTCTCCGCGAACACCTCCACCGCCGTCGACGTCCATTCCAAGCACGTTGCCCCCCGCATCCGCGTCACTATCCGAAATGTCCACCTCCATAACGTCGGCGGCGAGTCCGCTAGGCGCAGCCCCGAGTGAGGCGTAGTACTGTGCAGCAGCACCCGACGTAGCCTCCGATCCCGGACCTCCTGTAGCCCTGGCATGGTTGCGGGCGGCTTCACCTGCGCCTGCCCGGACGGAGGCAGCCTCGTCGGAGACCGCGTTGTCACTCCGGTTGCCGTTCGTGCATCCGGTTAAATCCACGTCAACGGTGTCGCCCTGTGCACCGCCGCCGGCGCCGCCCTCTACGCCTTCCATCATGCCCACGCCCCCAGAGGTGGTGACTCCCGCAGCAACGGTACCGCTACCACCAAAAACCGGTGCTATCGGCGACTCTAAAATAGCCAGCATTTGCGCAGCAGCCTCGTCCGCCCTCTTTTCCATGCCGCGAGCCCGATACAGTTTCTCCACCTTTTCCAACTCCTCAATCCTTTCCCTCCTCTGCTCTGTCTTCGCCTGAAGCTCCAAAGCACTCGAAATCACTGCGACCTGCTGCGTCACCTTAGCCAGAGTGACCTGGCTCTCTCGGCAAATCTTGAGCTGTTCCTGCATCCCTGCTGCATCGCCCCGAGCTTTCTTCTTCTCCTCGCGATCCCTCTCCTTCGTAGCCCTCCTACCGAGGATCTCTGTAGGTTTTGACAAACACTTCATGGCGTGCTTGCTCCTCATTGCCGACTGCTTCCCCCCAGACGCACCGCCACTACTGCTGGCCCTTTTCTTTCCCTTCTTGATTCCCACCTTGGTCGCTGCAACCTTCCGCCGCGTGCCCTCGCCGGTGTTGCCGCTGGACTTGCTTCGGTTTCCCTCTCCAGATCTCGAGGCAGACGCGTAACTTCCCGCACCCTTGCCGTCTTCAAATCCACCGCCGCCGCTGCCGTTGCCGTTGCCGCCGCCGCTGCCGCCGCCGCAGTCGTAGGTCGAAATCGTCGTCGTTGTCGTCGTCGCCGTAGTTGTTGAGCTCCTCGTAGGAGTCGTCGCTGAGGCCTCCGCTGCCCACCCCTTGAACGTCAGGGCCGTTGGAGGCCGTGAACGATATGTCCTCCTCCGGGTTTGCGGCCAGCGGTCCGTACAACAGCCACGTAAACCAGTACGGAGGGAGAAAGTTGTCGGGCATGTCCTTGTCGAGGAGCTCATCACGGTTCGGGATAGTCGGTATCTCGATCTGCTCGGCTATTCTCGGGTTTTTCGTCTTGCTCTTCTTTTGCAGCGCCTGCCTCCGTTTTCTTTCAGCCTCCTTGATCTTCTTGTTGGCAGCATCTTCGACCTGGTCCTCCCACACCTTTCCTATGACCTCCAGCATCACGTCGCCGTTCTGTTCTCCAGATTTCGGCTGCCCATGTTCGTTTGTCGCGCTGCACATGTGTACACAGCCGACGACGAGGACACAGGGGGGAGCTGCGTACAATGAGGAGGTGCCACCATAACCTACCTCGCGAACAAAGACGGATGCAGCCGAAAACCCCGACCAAGATTTAACAGGACGTATGCCGCCATTCCTAGGTAACCGACAATAATAAATACATTTGGAGCACAACTATAACACCATCGCGCGGTGCTGTCCCGTGCAATACACCACCTCCCCGATTGTTGGAAAACAATAAAAAAATCCCAAAAAATTGCCACGATGTCGACTGTGGCTCCTGCGCAATACGAGCCTACCCCCGGATTGTGAACTTCACCACCAACGTCGCCCAAGGTTTTAATTGGCATTTCAACCAGGAACCGGTAACGCGTGTACCAATATCAGGCACGTGTACCCTCAACTACAGTGATGCGTGCGCCGACGTCACTCGTTGTCTTCTTCGTCCAAAGTAGCAGGTCGAGAACAAACAAAACCCTCCGATGTTCAACGTACCTGTTGAAGTGCGCTGTGTAGTTCTTCAGCTCGCGCCGCTGCTCCTGACCCCGCGTCCAACACCTGTTCATCTGCGGATCAAAGAGGCTGTGATTCGCTGCGTACGAAAACAGCGGGAAGACAGAGAGGCACAGGTGGCGAAGGGGGAGAGAGAGGCAGATGTGAGGAGAGGAGAGGCATTCAAGGGACGAGGGAGGATTCAAACGCATAAGCTACACTTTCCGTATCTGACGCCAGTTTTCCCGTGGAGGCTTGCTTTTCGACGCTACCGGCACACGCACGGCGTCACCTCACGTGGCCATCTACAGCAGTACGTACGTGGCTTCCAGACCGTTCGCGCCGGCGACGGCGGCGGCGGAGGCGGCGGCGACACACACAGAAAGGGAGGTCTCAGAAAGCATGTTGGAAATAATGCCGTTTCTGATGGCAGTTTTCTCCCCGGAGGTTTGTTTCTTGGCGCTACCGGCACACAAATGGCGTCATCTCAGGTGGCCGTCTACAGCAGTACGAACAGGTGGTTTCCAGACCGCCACCGCCACCCGTCGCCGACCAAAAAAAAATAATACGAGTATACTGGTAGTAACCTAATTACTACATGTTATCCAACAACGGTGTGCAATATTTTCATGTTACTCGTGCGTACATATCTGATGCCACTTTTTCTCCGCGCGGAGGTTTGTTTCTTGACGCTACCGGCACACATACGGCGTCATATCACGCGAGAACTACAGCAGTGAAATAGCGGACGCCACCGTTGCCGGCGCCGCCGCCGCCGCCGGTTGCCGCCACAAAGCGCGCCGGCGGTGGTAAAACACACACAAAAAAAAAAAAACGGCGAGTACATACGTATACTACAGCAGTGGACGTAGTCCTCTTGCTACCTGTAGGCACCAAGGCGGTGTCCTACACATTTGAACAGTAAGAGGGATGTGTGTTGTGTCGACGCTTCCTAACCTAAAGCTACTCACCGTCGTTCATGGAGACCTTCCCCAGCTCTGCTGCGTCGAGACCATCAGGCATGCTAAATCCGCACGATTCGGTGAGGAATAGTATAGTCCCAGGACCCGCAAACGTCCTCATGCAGTTTGCAGCATGCGCATGCACTTCAGACGCATGCATGTCAGGTTTGTCCCTCACAGATTGGTTGGAGTACGCGGCCGGGTTTTGCAACAGGCGGCGTTGCTGATGCGACCATCCTGCTCTTGGTCCCATGGCAACGAATCGATTCCACGACCAACCTATCTCCTCTCGTGGCTGATCGGTCCCCCATGATTCAATTGGCTCACACCCGCTCAGATCAGGGGGCAAGTTGGCCATGCTCGCGGTGTTTCGATGCGGATGGTATGCACGCACGCCCGTCCGCAGGGAAGGATGGTCTGGAAGTGCGATAGAGAATCGCGCCCATTTTTGAACTTTTGAAACGTGCACCGCTCCGTGCATCGTGAATCAACCCCCCCCACGCTCCGGATTCCAATTTCCCCATAAANGTTTGTCCCTCACAGATTGGTTGGAGTACGCGGCCGGGTTTTGCAACAGGCGGCGTTGCTGATGCGACCATCCTGC